TAGGTAGTGTTTGGCCACAACCTTTGGAGATGTTATCCTTGCTTTGAGATTCATGGTTTCAAAGTTCTTCATTTTCTCAGATTTGAAGCTGGACTATTTTGAAATGGATTTAGAAACTATTTAATTATGTGTGTAGTTTAGTTTTCTGTTGAACGTCGAAACACAAGAAGACTCTTTGCTATTTTTTCAGATTTGAGGGGGGGTTTACTCTGCGGGGTTATCCAGATCTCTTACTAAACCCCATTTTGGAACAGACCCCAGGCATTTCTAAGCAGAGCCCTTAAAATTGTGAGGATAAGATAGAGTAAATCAGACTTCTCTGTACTTTTAGTTTATTATTTAAAAAAATAAATATGAACGTTTTTTTAAATTATTTTGTTTTCATGTTATCTGACAATGAAATGAGTCTGCAGTGTAAGGATTGTTTTAAACAGCTAGCAGAAATGTTCATTTTTGCTCTTTTATTTTGTAAAACTAATGTCATTGCTGCTGTCCAGTCGATTTCTTCTCATTCAGTATCGTAAACATCTCAGTCTGACTGCCCGTATGTTTCTGTAGCGCTGGTCAAACATCTGCTCTGTAGGCTCAGTGTATTTGTAGCTAAACACAGTTCCATGCATAATGTTATCCACTTCAGTTGCAAAGCTTAAACACACAGCCAGACTGTGACACTCAAGGCGTCTTTCAGAGAGCAGCTCTACGAGACATGACTAGTCGTGAGGAAGTTCATTCCGTCAGTCAGTGATTGAATTATTGATCAGCTGATTGATTTGAGCTGTATGCTCATTTCCAGAGCTGCTAGCTGATGTTTACATTTAAACCAGTGACTACTTAGTTACCTAGTCACGTTTGTTTTATTAGACCAACTATACAAACCAGAGATTTAAACAAACAGTACAAATATAACAAAGACACTTCTGTACATACATTATTTTACCTTTATATTCTATCCCATTAAAGTTATAACATGATCAGCGGCTTCATCTATATCTGTTGAAATGATTATCTGCTCTTACAAGGCACCACGATGTGGGCCATTTAACTTTAATACAAATGGGATGTTTATTTTTACATGACATTTTATTACATTGTAACCCCTTCAGTATCTGGGCCAAGGTATTCTCACCAGGAATGCCATCCCATGTGAGTTCTCCCATGATTTCACATGCCGGCCACCTTAAAAATCCTCTCCCTCACGCCACTCCTGTCCCCAAGTTTAGTCATCTACAGATCGCACTTCTCTGATCTAGGTAACGGTTCAGCATAACGGTAGAACATAATGTAAATCACATCTTCTCCCTCAGAAGCTGGGCCGGGACCCCTCCGATGAAGACTGCTTCTTTGACCTCCTCAGCAAGTTCCAAAGCAGCCGCATGGATGACCAGCGTTGCCATTTTGATGAGCCTGAGAACGGAGACAATGGAGAAGACGCTGCCAACTCCGTGGCATCCCTGAATGAGATGAAAGGTCAGTTAAAGAAAGCGTTTGCATACCTGTTTTATATTTTTAAGAATGAATGACCTCTTGTTTAATAACTGCTCTCTTCTCTGTTCTCCTAGATCCGTCAATCACCACCTCCCCACAGACGGAGGAGCTGTTCGATTTGATCGCTAACTCCCAGAGCCGCCGGCTAGATGACCAGCGGGTTAATGTTGGTAACCTCCCAGGCCTGAGGATTACCCATAACAACCTGGGGCACCTTGTGGGTGAGGGAGATCATCAAGAACCCAGCGATGACTTCTTCAACATGCTCATCAAGTGCCAGGTAAGGCCACAATTCAAACATGACTAGAACTCAAATTTAAATCCCCATAGATCAGGGGTGTCTACACTTTTTTCACGAGGGCCACATACAGAAAAATATACAAAGGGCTGGGCCACTCCCTAGGGGTGAGGTATATTGCCTCTTAAGTTCAGTTATAAGTTGGAAGAATCAACCCAATGTAGGTACATTTGTCTTGATACGGGAAATGATGTAAGCCTACATCACAGCTCTCCATAGGGTTTCATTTATTTTGTTAGCACCTCATTCCTTAAAACAGAAGCTTCAGATCGCTTATAATGCGAGGAAATATCAAGGGTATATTTCAAGGTTGTTATGTACAGTATATTTGTTATTGGGATTTTTTATTATCAACTTAGATTTGTTAGAACATGTTTTTAACGTTAATGGACTGAATTTATCTGAAAATTGGGCTTATTAACACATGACTACTGTGTAATATATTTAAACATATATATTTAAGAAGTACAATATAAGACAAGCAGAAGTTTATTGTACTTAAGTCATACTTTTTTAATTTGCTGAGAGCCGATGGTTGGCGGGCTGTAGTTTGGACACCCCTGCCATAGATCCTTAGTTATAAGTATTATGAATCTGTAAGATTGCTGTATGGGGAATAGAAGAGGTTGCCAATATAATTAGCTTCAATTAAACCCCATTGTGTCACACTTGCTTCAACACTCCAATATTTTCCTGTAGTCCTCCAGGATTGATGATCAGCGCTGCTCCCCACCAGAAGGAGGCCCCCACGCCCCCACAGTGCCTGATGAAGACTTCTTCAGTCTAATCCAGAGGGTGCAGGCCAAGCGTATGGACGAGCAGCGTGTCCATCTGCCTTCAGACGACCAGGACGACCCCCCGTCTCCTGACCCGGAGCCCCCTGGTGGTTTTCCCAGCTAGGACTTGTTGAATAATGCTGCAATACTTCCTGTCAAAGAACGCAGAAGAAATTAAAGAGGGATGAGGCAACATTTAAAGACGGCACTGAAGGGTGAACTAACAAGATTTTTTTAGTAACAAGACAAATTTCATGTGCAATAGTTGGTGCCCTGTCAAATGTTGCTCGATGTATTATGTTCTAAATGTGTGTGGTAATATAACGGGGAAACAAGCAGAGTTAGGGTAACATGAAACAGATATGTACTCAATATAATGCCTTAATCAGCATTTTTTTTCAGACCCAAGATTGTATTCCCTGGTGTCAGATGTGTTTTGTAGAAGCACGCGATGGGCATACAGAGTTAATGTGAGACCTACAGCTGTGGTTGTTGGAATCACAAAGATTCAATGATAGGAAAACAGTTGATAAGAACATCAGAGATATGACTGGTTTTATAAAGACATAATATTGTCACTTTTTCAGCAAAATATATCTATTCATTCGACTCTGATCAATAATGTTTTTATCATTCAATCTCTGTGGTTCCCACTGCTCACAGAAATGGGTGTTATTTGCGCAGTAACAGTATTAGAGGATCGTCATCTAGTGTCAAATAAACTGCTTTGGTCAGTTTAAACATTCCACTCCTTGATAACCATGCTTAATTATTTGTTTTTTAGAAACTCATTTTCTTTTTCTAAATTAGCAGACTGATTGGATCTGAAGTGTTATTTATGTGCATTTCTGCATTTATAAAAATGCATCTCTTCACACAGTAACCAAGGTGACTGAGCAAACAATTCAAAGCTTCTTTTATAGATTGGAGAATAGAGTTTGATTCTGTCTCCAAGTACATGTTTCCGCTTATTTTCGGCTGTAATGTTATCTGCTGGCCATGACATTCTCAACTTCTGATAGCATACTACTGCTTACTGCCATTATTATTATTATTATTATTATTATTATTATTATTATTATTATTATTATGACCTAACATAGGAATAGAAGCAGACGAATGTGTCATACTTTGATGAGTCTAATACCATGAACAATGTTAAAACACTAATTCTAGTTTCTGCTGCCTCCCTGTGGTCAAAACCTGGTACTACCTCTGTGAAATACAGAGCACCACCTGTTGGCGATAAAAGGCGTTCCATATTCTTAAATATTTTTAGGACAACATTATTATAGTAATATTGTGATAAAGTACAAGTATGACCACACTGAGGAACGTTCCCTTTGGTGTGGAGCCAAAATGTTTTCAACTTTTAACTTAAATTTGGAGATTTTTGCAATTATTTTCATTAAGAATACAGTGTTTTGTGTCACGTCAGTGAACATTTCTATCCCTTTGTTGCCATAAAAAACTCAGCAAAAGGTACAAACTGCCGAGAGACATTTTTAATCGGCTGAGGTTTTGAAACCTTTTGCTGTACAGAGCATCTGTATAACGGTATTGTAAGAACAGTTTTTGACCTTACCTATGGGCTAGCTTTTTATTCAAAAGTAGTGCATACCTCATTTTTGTACCTCAAAGCTCATGAACCTTAGAGATTTAAGTGCTGAACTATGATGTATCATGTTCCAGGGTCATAGTGGTTTAATTCATCTATCTTTGATAAATAACGCATTGGGAGTTAATATTTCATGTTTTTTTGTGAATTAACATTTCTAGAAAGTACCTTGTATGCATCTATTTGTCTTTGCCATAACTTGTACATATAAATATATTTTGTATTTATGTTCCATATGTGGACATGCATATGTCCCCTCATGCTTTTAATAAAATGTTTCAGATGTTTAAATGACCTTTTTTCATTTAGTGCTAGCAAATTAATGATTATCAAAGCTTTTGTAAAGTTTTCATACATCAATTCATCTTTTGATGCTATGGGAAATTAAATGAGCAACAATAACTTAATATAGCTATGAAATATCACATTTTGTACATTGAAAAATTACATGCAAGCTGTGAGCGGCTGATCTCCTATTAAGCAGAATTATATTACCAAAACAAATTAGTTATTTCTGTCAATAATTAAAAACACCTGTATTAATATGATTATATATGTTCAAACATATTTCAAGTTTCTACCTTTCTGCTCGGCTTAAATGATAATAATAATATTAATAAGAAGAAGAATATAGATATAGAAGTATACAATAAAAATAAGTGAAGCCCACCATTTTTAGTAGAATCGAATGCTGCACAGAAAGCTCTCTAATGACTCAGTGTTCAGTTCTGTCACAGCCCCCCTCCCCTCTCCCTCTCCCCATAATTGCACCCATGCCTCCTTCTGCCCATCATCCGTTATTGCCCTCCCTCTTACCCAGAATGCAACGCCGGCTCAGCAGGCTCAGCTGAGCTATAAAAAGGCATAGGAAGGGGGAGGAAGGGCTGCCGTGCAGTAGGAACTGTGCAGATACACACACACGGGGATCCAGGAAAGGCAGCCCATTGCACTGGGATCTAGAGCCACACCGCCACCGAGAGGTCAGTACAGAGGACAAAGGCTCCATGGAGGTAGCATGAAATGACAGGGAGTGGGTCTGGCTGTCAGAGGCAGAGAGTGATATCAAAGAGAAGCAGAGTGGGCAGGGCTGTGTGATAAGATGGAGAGACTGTAATGGTAAACTGTCATCTGGTTTCCGAGACACATGGTTAGTCACACTGTCAATTAATGGTTGTCAGAAGATCAGGCATTTCTGTATACTTCAAGGCATGGTGCTCTTGTGTGTCATTGACAGTGAGGCCACTCAATGCATGACATATTTGTTTTGCTACAAAATATGTATATCCTTTATTCCTATTCTTTGCCCCAGACATTTTATTGCAGATGGTTCGCTCTAATGAGATGTTAACATTATCCTCCATCTAGACACATTAAAGGTCATTGTCATGCATGCTGTAGCCTTTTAATTCCACTGCCATTCTTTTAGCCCCAGTAATGGTCATTAACAACTGACTAGGGGGCTGAGTATTGATTCTAGTGAGTAGCTGCCCTACATTAAAGTGAACCAAAGCTTGCAATTTGGAACACTAACTACGTCCACAAAAGCCACAGCTAACACAGAAATAATCTTGCTCCATCCATCCTTTCATAAACACCATGGAATATCTCCCACTGCACTGACGTCAAAGGGTCCCCTGTTCTCCCTTAAAGGAACAGTACGCTCAGTAACCAGTGGTAAACAGAGAGAATGCATTAAAGTGCTCAGTACTTTGTTTTCACTCCTGTTGCTTCTACTGGCTCACAGTGAAAGCTTCAGCCCCAGGTGCTTTTTAAGAATGGTCGACACGCTATCCCTTAACAGCTGAGTCTTTTTTTAGCAGGGCTAAATGTTAAAAAACAGTTGTAAGACATGAGGGTGGGATGGGTCACTTAACATTTGGGAGGGGGTTGTGGTGAGTCCAGTATCTGTACAGTTCAACTTCAAGGATATAATTACAGAGTCACATGCTCTCCTCATATCAGGTTACATACGGCTTATTGCATGGTGTTACATAATGACATATTAAACAATATGTAGCCAATCCTACAGAACATTTATTGGGCTTTGTCCTCATAAAGTCCAGTGCACACCAAAAACACCTCGCACACCAACTCTAGCACTGATAACGCCTGTGTTTGAAAATGTGTCAGCACAATCACACTACAGCAAAGACATGTCATGTTTGGCTGCCACAATTCCATGCAGTATTGGATGTTGTCTGCACTGCATGATAACCAGAACACCTCTGACATGCCAAAAAAGCAGGGGACCCAGACGATGGCACCATAATAGGCCAGGGAGGGATTCCCAAACAGGCTCTTTGCTGACTTGGATGCCGGCCTCCAAGTGACATTTACCACAGGGTCAAGTGACCATGACATAAAACCGGACACCTGAAGAGAAGGAGTGTTGAATTTGAGCATTTACAGTTTGGGTGTACTCCTAATCTCGAACCAGGAAACACATCTTTGCTCTAGATATAAAACAAACCATGTACAGTATAATACAACAATATGTGTGCAGCCTAGCTACAATAAAACAACTGATATCACCTTTATTATACCACACATACAATAAAGCTTATTTTTCAATCTGGCCTTATAGTAATTGTTTTTATTGCAAGTATGGGTCAGTGAACAAACAACCACATTGGTGTCAAAAAGTGAAATCCAGGTTTTGTTAAAGTAATCTAATGTCTTGCAATGTAGACTAGGATACATAGGTTATCAGACTACATATCAAGACTTTGAGGTAAAGTCTAAATCCCCATGACTACATCTTGAGGTTTGATATATTTTTTGTGTGTATAGTATGTTCATTTCCTCCTGGTCACCATGCCTAGAAACTTAGATCCAAGCTTGGCTCTTACCACGTAACTTAAGGTATCAGACCTTTTCCTGTCTCACAAATCTGCTTTAGCAAAACCTCTCAGGATCCTGGATGAACATACCGTGCCTGTGTGTGTGAATTTAGTAACTAATTGACAGACAAATATAATGGTCAAAACTGGAGAATGCATAACTGTATTGAAATCTAACTAACACTGTGATGTTATAGCAGTAATTGACAAAATGTAATCTACATTATTCACATTTACACTTATCTTAAGGTGGTATTCGGACTCTAAATGAGTGCCAAGCATCAGTAGCTGTATTGAAGAGATCAAACATAATTCAAAATCCATGCAAATGTACTGCATTTTATTCAAAGCATCATCCAATGTGACCTATGGAGTCCCTTCAGATGCAAAATTGCTTCGTTATTTTTGACACGGTCAGCACCTGTTGAGCCAAATGTTAAAGTTATTTAAAGCGAGATCTTTCAAACACTCATTTACAACCAGAGACACATGACACTTGCAAGCAGCTAGCTGAAGATATCTGTTTACAGAACGCCCAATAACTCCTTCCTCATTCGTGTGTCTTTAAGTAATCTAAACCAGAAGTGCAAACAGGAAACCACATGGCTGTTTTCTTCCTTATATAACCAGGCATTTCCTGGCTCCATCAAATGTTGAGGGACTTGCACATTTTATCGGTAATAAGACACACAGAAAAGCTACTTAGCATTGTTTTTGGTCTATTGATAAGCTAAGTGCGTCCACTTTGGGAAGTCTTTGACAAGTTCTCACTCGAAAGGAAGGATGAGTGAAAAAAAGGGAACTGTATCATTTAAAAGTACAACATTTAAGTGGGTTTCTTGTGTTGGTCTATTATTAAGTTGTACAAAATGTTTATGAAAGAAAATGAGGAATGTTTTAGTAACATCGAAACTGATACCAAAAAAACACTGTTATGTAATGCTAAAGAAATGCTTTTGGGGAAGTTACTGAAGCAGTGAACTTGTTTAATACTTTTTCTGTGTCCTTTTCTGTCTTCCAGTTAAAGGAAACACTCATCTAACGCAACACGATGGCAGGTAAATAATATGTCTGGTTGATTGATGATTGATGATGATTAATTATGTGTGAATAAAAAAAGATAAAGCACAACCCAGGGTCTGATAGCATGGGTGCTGAATACATAAAACAAAAGAGAAACAAAAAACTCCCTTTGGAGGATTGTAATGCTGCTATGTCATTTTGATAGCACCAGCCTTTAGTTTCATTCTTACTGGATCAATGATAAGGCAGAAGCACACTTGTTTTCTAAGACTCTACTGCCCTCTTATGGTGATTTTTTAGAATACAATAAAGACCTTACTTTTTCTTTGCTGCATTATGTAGGCCAGGGGTGCCCAACCTTTTTTGAACCGAGAGCTACTTTTAAAGTTGCCAGTCTGCCGAGATCTACCAGTCCAAATAGAGAGGCGTAGTTACTGACAGCCTACTACCAGGTAAATACACACTTATACTTGTATAAAACTGACCTTTGTATGATTAATACTTCATAAAATAATGCAGATCCTTTATCTTACCTCTTTCTAATCTACACGCATACAAGTATTTAACTGAAGTTACACAACAGTGTTGTTGATACAGAGTTGGAGTTTATTCACACGTCACACTACAGTGGGTAATGTTTTCAAGAAACATTGAACAGTGCTGCCACATATGACACAGGACAAAAGGAAAGACTCTGAACCCTTTCTTTGCCATTATATAAAAATAGTGTTGTTACAAAAGTATAAATTAGGCTTACTAATAAGACAACTCAGATCTGAAGCTACACAGGAATCTGCTGCCAACGTGCAATAAAAAAGAGAAAATTAATAGAATCAAACCCTTTTTTTGTTGCATTTTAGTAGATTATAAAAATTAATGCCTTTAAAATAGGATGCAAGCAACACTAGTTTCTTAACCTGAATTGATAGACTATAATCAATTTAAGTTTGCATTCTTATACCATTTTGTACAATAATTATAATGAATAAGTTCAAACAAACTAAAACGTACAGCTGATTAATAACGGTATCTAACTTGAGTTTTTATTATATCAAAAACCTGTTGAAATGCTACAGTACTGTTATTTTATTACGCATCGGCAGCCTCCAGGAATGCACAACTTCGCCGTCTTTGAAAGACTTCATGTGTTTCGCAAGAACGTGACTGACACGATAAGATGCTCTGGTAGCAGCCTTGCTCTTGTTGTTGGGCCTGGTGAAAATGGACTTCTGTGCATTTAGCTGTCCTTTCAGGCCCCTCCCCTTTTGGGAGCGTAGGGCAGAATTAGGAGGGAATTCCGTCTCGTAGCGTTTGTGCACTGTTTTGAAATGCCGCTCCTAAATAACCCTTCTTCGATAAAGCCACGCTCGCATTGCAGATGAGACAGATGGACTTTGAATTGGAATAGATACAAAAATAATCATCCTCCCACTCGGAGTGAAAATCATATATGTTGCTGGGCTTTTTTGCTTCTGCCATAATTGCGGTCTTGTGTGTGCGGACTGTCACTCCTGTTGACACGGACAACGTCAGCGAAATAGTGCCCACTGTCCATCAGCCACGCCCCGACACATGGGGTCACGCCGGCCAATCACAAAGCCTTGATGCGTTCAAGTGCATTATTCTGGCACAGGAAAATTATGTTATAGGACATTAACGATAAAACAGAATATTGTTGTTCTATTTTTAGACACATCTCCCGATCGACTGGGAATCTCCCGGCGATCGACCGGTCGATCGCGATCGACTGGTTGGGCACCCCTGAAGGCCATTCTAAAAAGAAGTCCAGATTTTTACACGATATTGCATTTAATTAGGAACTAAATATTCTAAAACAATTGTTTTTTGCATATAGTTACACCGCACACATTAACAACATATTTAGATAATTTCACAAGTGTATGTCTCTCATTCAGTCATTTTAGAAACATATAAAATGTGTTGGTATATTTATAACTCAGACTTAGTTAGATGTAGTTCCATGAGAACAGTTACTTGGCTGAATAACAATATCAGGTCAGGAAACAACAGTTGCCATAGCAACACTGTTTGAGTAATAGCACAAAGCTATACACCAAAGCAACAGTCAAAACAGGATAGAGGACCAGGCGACACAGTACCTTGCGACTAACAAAAGGGAAATATGAGTACTTCTGATATCAATGAAGACCTTTCCTCTACTTCTGAGTGTCAAGATGGTTTGTTCTGAAATTAATTGACTTGTGAATGTAACTGTTTTAGAAGAAAGTTTTGTCATATCAAATGGCATATGTTGACTTCTTTTTGATAATCTCATTTCAGACAAAATTAAAGATGCAAAGATCATCTTTGTAGTGGGTGAGTACAATTCACACACTTACATAATGTTGTTTTAATTTGCACCATCACAGCACATTGAGAAGCTGCTCTGTCTTGGCACACCAATATATTTTTGCCTTTCTTTCTCAGGTGGGCCTGGCTCTGGAAAGGGCACCCAGTGTGAGAAAGTGGTTGCCAAGTATGGCTACACTCACTTGTCATCAGGAGATCTGCTCCGTGCTGAGGTGTCTTCTGGCTCAGATAGGGGGAAGCAGCTCCAGGCCATCATGCAGAAGGGAGAGCTTGTGCCCCTGGTAAGAGAAACGGACAGTCCTGTTATAAACGGTATCGTTTTTCTCATACTGATATTCTGAACAATCTGTGCTGTTGTATTTGCTGTAAAGTGTCTCTACTGTAAGCTATTTTTATTATATGTACAGCACTTTGGCTCGACCAAAAATCGTTTATAAATGTGCTATATAAATAAAACTTGATTTGATTTAAAACTCTGTCTGAGTGTTAGTATAAGGTCATTCAGAGTGGTGTTGATTCAACTTGATCTACTATAATACATCATCATTTAGGAGGTTGTAGTTTGTGGTGCTGTTTTGTTATTAAGCCTACCCTCATTGATATTTATGGGGTGGACAATATTTGTCAGTATAATAAACTAGCAGATGAATATCATTGTGAAGGTTGATCATAATGTGTTGTTGTGTCTGCCTTCAGGACACAGTCTTAGACATGATTAAGGATGCCATGATCGCCAAGGCTGATGTCTCCAAGGGCTACCTTATCGATGGCTACCCCCGTGAGGTGAAGCAGGGCGAGGAGTTTGAGAAGAAGGTAGGAAAGGGAACGAGGTGTTCATAAATCATCCCTGTAAAACAATGATAAAACCTCTAACAAGTTTATTACACTTGACCCTAGATTGGCAAACCCTGCCTGCTGCTCTACGTTGACGCTAAAGGAGAGACCATGGTCAAGAGGCTCATGAAGCGCGGTGAGACCAGCGGCCGCGCTGATGACAACGAGGAGACCATCAAGAAGCGCCTGGACTTGTATTACAAAGCAACCGAGCCAGTCATCGCCTTTTACGAGGGCCGCGGCATTGTCAGGAAGGTGGGTATCACTGCTATGAGAGTGACAATTCAAAATAAGATGTGAATTGAGTGTAAAATCTAACATATTGTCTTTATACTAGGTCGACTCTGAGCTGCCAGTGGATGAGGTCTTCAAACAAGTCTCAACAGCTATTGATGCATTGTAAAGTAAAGCAACAGAGCTAGACGGTCTGGTTGTTGTTTTTTATCTTTATGTTGTCGTATCAATTTCCTAAGGACAAAACATGAACGAAATAATACATTTCCCACTCATTTTGGTAAAAATAACAACAAAACTGAAGGCCGTTGAGGATCAAAGATGCCTTAACTTTACTCCTCCTCCAGCTATAGGAGGCTCAAAGCTCAAACAACAGTGAGTCAGTTTAAAGCAGTATCTGAGAATCCATTCTTTACATAAGTCTTGCTTTTTTTCTGTGCTAAACATGTGTGTCGATATATCAAAGTGACATCTTGAAAAGTTGTGTATACAGGAGTTTTCAACATTCTACTAACCTTAGAGGCACCATGCTCACTCTGGGGCAAACCTGCACTTTACACAATCTTGTGTATACATAGAGTATGGGAAAATAACACACTTGTTTATGATTGTGCCAATCATTGAACAAATGGAGACAAACTGGTGAATATATATGTCTACATGCATTTAGTTAACAGATAGGTAGTGCCTCTCACAGAACATTTCAATTACTTTTCTTAAAGACCATATATTTCATACATTATTTTATATAAATCCATTTACAACTATGATTAAAGCACAGAGATATGTTTTTTCATCAAGATGTACACATGTAACACGGGTGTTTATAAAGTGTATGTTAAAAAAAGAACGAAACGATAAAAATATATACGAAAAACATGATATTTGATTAAATTGCGACTCTGTTTTTAAAAGATGTAATTTCCCATGACATGCAATCTTCATCACAGTTATTTTACCACCTCTTGGATGAAAGATGAAGCCAATATGAAAGCGCTTTAAACCTGCATTCTTTCTAATGGCCAGCAGGGGACACTGGTTGCAAAAATAAATCAGATTGAATGATAGTCTATGAGGAAATGATGGAAATTCCCACTGGATTTAGTAACTCAGTAAATATTTTCCCGACAATCTTATTGTCTTAATCGCCAGACATTTACAAAACAGCATAATGACAACTTCTTAAATGATGGTTACACTTAGAGTTAAATATACAATAAAGCAGCATGTGCTTTGTCAATGGCCAAAAGTCCAGAAACCAATGGATAACGTCACGTTGACTATGTTCACCCCTTGATTGATTTTGAGTTATCCTGGAAAAACATAGACACACACATATTAGCAAGGGACTTTGACAATGCATCATGTTTGAAAAAAAGGAAACACATTCCATTCAGACATGGTCAAGGTGCTGGAGAATGTAGACACAACAGGATACAGGACACACTGCTTCAGCTACAGCTCACCACTGTTATCATAACTTTTCCTTTGAGCCCATGATGACCCAAAGCCAAAGGTCTTCCTCTCCCTCTCACCTTCCTCACACACACACACACACACACACACACACAACACACACACACACACACACACACACACACACACACACACACACACACACACACACACACACACACACACACACACACACACACACACACACACACACACACACACACACACACACACACACACACACACACACACACACACACACACACACACACACACACACACACACACACACACGCACACAGACACTTCCAGCTGGCCAAGCAAACACCACAGCAGGTATCCGGGCTACCCTCCAAGGAGAGATCTGACTGCGCTGTGGGGATGAGGAAGAGGAAAACGGCTTCTGAAGGGGGACAGGATGTGTCCATCGGAAAGTCCATCAAGAAAAGGCGCCTGTGAGCACTTTCATACAGCCATCGAGGATACTGCCTGAATGCTAGGAATGCATAAAGGTACGAAACAAAGGGGGGAAATGTAGGTGGCAGTGCTACTTATCACGTACAGCAGATAGAGAAAGAAAGGGACACATGTTGAGGAAGAGAGGAAACCATGAGCTGATGGTTCACCATGTGTGGGCTTAACCTCCAGTCCTGCAGTTCAGGGATCACAACCTAGTTTTTATATTTTTCATATGGTGAAATAACTGGACATAAATGAAGGAAGGACACGTATAATAATAAGGTTAATGACGATAGACTTAGATAAACATTTCAGTCACTATGATGATATGTGTGAGAGGAGATTAGGTAGGGTACATTGTAGTGTGTGTGTGTGTGTGTGTTGGATGTGTGGCGGAGAGAAAGCAAAATATGGTGATTAGTAAGAATACATATGATGCATGTGATGTAACTTTAGTATCAATATAATATTCATATTAGCAATATTTATGATAATAAAAATACGGTAATCAAACATCATTTTTTTTATAATGTAGTAATAATAATACACTTTATTTAAATAGCACCTTTCATGCAAGATTCAGCTCAAAGTGCTTTACTGATACAAAATAAAGATGGAGTAACATAATGGAAAACAAGTTATGAACAAACAGAAAGAGTTGTATCACAGAACCATATAACAATAAAACATGAACAGTAATTTAACAACAATTACCCCAAATGCTCCCAGCAAGGCAGATGGACCTGAAAATAGTGGGTGCTATATAATAGTTGACATACAGGAGCCGCAGTGTCTGACATTATTTCAAGGACAGCAAGGTGAAATCAGCCATGAATATAACACACAGGTTTGGTATCACCTAAAATTGTCACTTTTAAATTAGGTTGCTAATAATAAAACTAATCAGATGGAAAATGAACTGTGGCGCGTGGCAGCTCAAGAAAAAAAATCAAAGCTTGTTGTCACATAGATTACGTATACATTATGCATACATGATACTTTTGTTTCTGTTGTCAGATAAAAGCAAAGCCATAAATAACTTGATGAGTTGTGTATTGGGAATCCTCACTCCATCCAAGGGTGATATGGGGACATTCACAGATTAAAATATGCCCAGTTTGCTGAGAAATAATCCTTTTTTCGACTGTCACAGACAATTACATGCGGCGTTGTTGCTCTAATGTCAAATTAACCACTCACTGATTACTGAATCCTAACTGCACTTAGTTAAAGTTCTATTAATAATTGAGAAATTATTTTACAAATGGGATGCTTCTTAAATGAATGCCCTTTCAAATAGCAGCCCTATGGTATGTAGATGTACATTGAGAGAGTGTTTAAGGCTGACAGGCCTTTCATAGTATCACTCTTGGATATTACCGCTTCAAGTGAATGCGTCAGATCCCCCCTTGGAGGACGATAAGCAAACAAGCAGGCTGGCGCAGACACTTTATCCCCTCTCTCCTCTGCCATAGACTGCAGAGGGCTGGCACTGCAGAGACCCAGTGGCACCATGCGGGAACCAACGTCAACCTGTGATGAAAGACGATGGCCGATTGTTTCCTGTTATTGAAACACTACTCATGGGTGGGGGTGGGGAGTAGGGGGCAGGCTCTAATAAAAAGGAAAGCCATTGAAGGAGAGTGCTACTGCAGAAGTGTCCTTGGGCCAGCCTCTGATGTGATTAAATACTTTAAATGAATGCCAACTGTGACATATGCCTCAGAAACTAAATCAGAGTCATGTTGACTGCTGGAGGATTGCAATTATTTAAGTAACACAGAGTCAAATTGTAGTAAACCATGTAATTCCTTTGTTTGTGCTGCCTAAAGGAACAAGGTTAAGGCAGTTTCACAGAGTCAATGCGCAAATCATCAACTAGTCTCAGAAAACAGGGCTCTATAAATAACTGTTGTCAATACACTATGGGATTTCAGCACTCTAACATGTCAATTAATACAATACGTTATCGACTGCTTTTGATCTGCAATCATCAATAAATTAGTCTTGTTAAAAGTCTAAAGTTCTAGTTCATATTAAGCACCATTTTCAATTGTTCAGGCAGATAAATCCTTTCAACAGTATCTTAAAAGGAGATGTGCTTCACTTCAAACAGTCCTTTCGACTTTTCTTTTCTTCAAATATGCGGATTAGGAGCACATAGAACTGAAAATAGCTTGACTGGTTTTTCTACTGAATGGAAGAGAGAATGGATGAGGAGAGAGACAGAGCTTCTGCTCTCCTGCTGTGTTCCAGTTTTGTTCTCAATAAGTACAGCACATCTCTTGGAGCAAAAAGAGACAAATTAACAGAGTTGCCGTTTGAGAATTGTGTTTTTGTAATTGTTCAAAATGCTTTTGTAGCACACGGCTCTGTTTTGCCAAGAGACTTTGTGTTGAGAGTTCATACGATGGAATGATGTCTCCTCTGAGTCTGTTCATTACAGAAAGGATGTTGTGTCTACGCTTTGTTCCAGATTTTTTCCCTCACAAAGTAGCATAGCGGGATATACTGTGAGGTACGTTATGTTCCTATATAAGAGAAGCTATATGGTTTTAACTCATTGTTCAGCAGATTGTAACGTTTACAATACAAGTGACATATATACTGAGGTTAAAGTGAATACAGAAATGTCTAAGGCTATTATGTGTGGCTCCAACCTTCTATAGTAGCATAGTTTTTCAAGATTCAAGATTTAAATGTTATATTGTCATATGTACAACCGCTTCAGTGTAGTTGTTGGCTATAAAATGTTTTATTCCACATAAATAAAACTGATCCATAAAGAAATAAAACACACAACAGAAATAGTGCAAGTGACATGATGGTGCAAGTAAAATCCAGTAATACGTTCACTTACAAAACCAAGGTATTTAGTCATACTTTGTCTTAAAATTCTGATGATAATCCACACAATGTTCCACATGCGAATGTATTCTGTGGAACCCACAGGAATTATAAATATTTTAACTGTAACCATTATTACCATCAGGGAAGGGTGAGCATTCATTTGGTTTCAATATGCAACCTTGCAGCTACTGTAGATGCCACTTTATCTTACACACAGCTCCTTCTAGTGTTATGTTGACAGGTATTTCAATATCACAGTGAGACTGAGTTTGAAGACAAGTAATGGTAAAGGTAGACATACATCAGAATAGTATAGACACTTCTGTGATAAAATACAACAATTAGAATGTAAGGCTACCAAATATAAATAATTGAAGCACTTAAAAGTAAAGAGACAGTGCTATACAATCCCAAAATTGCAGTAATGTTAAGTAATACGTACATTTACTAAAGTACTGTACTTAAGTACAGTTTTGAGGTACTTGTACTTAACTTGAGTATTGCACTTTTTTACTACTTTGTACTTCTACTTCACTACAATTAAAAGGTAAATCGTGCACTTTTACTCCACTAAATTTTCCTTTACTTACTTTACAGATTTTGATTAATGATATGAAATATAAACACACTTAAATAACACTTTAGTTACTCCTGGAGTAAATTCACAACCCTGCAGTATACAAAGTAATTACAACTAGTTCCAGCTTTACCAGCTTTGATGTATCAATATTTATAATCAAAACATATGATATATATTATTCTGAAATGGGCTGATCTGCATGATAAGTACTTTTACTTTTGGTAGCCTACTTTAAGTACATTTTGATGCTAATACTTTTCTACTTTTACTTGAGTAACATTTTGATTGCAGGACAAGAGTATTCCTACACTCTTGTTCTTCTACTTTTACTTGAGTACAAGATCTGAGAGTAGGCTACTTTACCCTCCTCTGCAAAATTGGTTATATTAACACCAGTTTTTAATATATTGGTGTGTTGACTACATTAAAGAATGCGATGTCAGGGAGGGGGAGCACAGGGCAGCACTTACTAGGAAAAGGGAAAAAAAGGCCGGTGGGAGGGCTACAAAAGTCATTGTGCACCGCCCCGCAGC